GGCCAATCACAACGCACTGGATAGCTGGCCAATCAGAGCACACCTCGCTTTTCAGACCGATGAGCTTTGTATAAATCGGCGCGTTTCAGAAAGGCGGGGCATAGAGGAGAAACAATAATGTACAGTATGTGGAAAATAATGTGTTTTTTTAACCTTAAACCGCATAAACACATTTCATTACACCAAATACACAAAATAATGTTCTTTTTAGCAGCATCATATGACCCCTTTAAACTTATTTTTTTCAAAATCATGTTTAATAGCGTAATTTGCGGTGAAAAACTATATTACCCATGATGCTGTACAGAAAATTCCAGCAATCAGAGAGTCACCGCGAGCAAAGTGCGCCAAGAGCACTGATCTAGAGCCCCGCGTGGGATTTCTTATGATGTGTGCACACCAAACGCGAAGCGAATATTTGCATCGTGTTACTCGCTCTAATTTACTCACAGGATGTTTTCTGCATCACTCTCGCAAATAAAAACATAAAACATTTTGATTTCAATTTTCTGATACAACCGGACGTGTCAATAAGCCCTTCGCTGATTGGCTTGCGTGACAACTCATCATGCAAATTTTCCACTTGAGTTCAAATATTTGAAGTTGCACGGAAGACACGATTGAGGCGTATATTGCACGTTCGCGCAATCGCGTTGCTCAATTCGCATTATTCGCCTCGTCCGGCGCAAATTCGCATCTAATCGCGTCTTTGCATTGACTTTGTATGTAATCTACTCACGCAAATAATTAAATTAGCTTTTGTCGCGCAATCAAAATTTGGGGTATTGAAACTGCTTTTGAATGAGCGCTCCCTGTTCATTTTCGGTTTTGCCAACACGCCACTCTGTGTAAAGCAGGTTGAAGCGACCCCAATAACATGATATTTAGGCCCTGGAATGTGAATTGTACCAGGAGAACCCCGCCAAAAAATGTGTATTTTACCCCCCGAATGTGATTTTTACTGGGGGACCCCCTCGAAACCAATTGGGCTATTTTCAGGCTAGTTTTGAGTAGTAATTGGGCGGGTTTTTTAGCGAAAACCTGGCAACCCTGCACCAGACAGAGCTGTCGGCGAATCTTCCTATTGTAAAGTCATGCAGTGTGTAACCTCCCGTCGTCGTTCCATCGTGCAGTGTGAACACAGCAACAACTGAATGCTACCCCAGATAGTCACGCAGTGTCAAACCAACAGTGATGCGACGTCTTTGAAAACCGTGCAGTGTGAACTCTGCATTACTCTCCACCCAAGATCAGTCAAATCTGACTCCTGCAGCTCGTGTCGGATGTAGGGTTGCCAAGTCTGTGCTTTTTCAACGCAATTGTGCAACCGTTAAACTGTTTCTGTGGGTTGATTTTTCCCTGTGGGTTAAAGGTTTGAAATATTGCATAAATTACATTTGACTGAAATGCTTGTATTTAAATATTTTGCATTCTACTTATGATAAAACTGCACTAGATGTTAAGTTTTGTGAAGGAGGACCACTGGAAGGAAGCCTTTGCACTGTGTTTATGATCAATGTGCATAACAGGGACTGTAAAATATGTATTTTAAGTAGATAATCAGTTATTAAAAACAACATATTTTGAGTTTTGATGTTTGGGATATGGTCATTGGACTACTTTGGGCTGTTTTGACTGGCATGGGTTAGTATTGTCACGCAAACCTGGCAACCCTGACTATATGGATTTGCAGTTTGCAAGATCCTAGCTAACAAATTAGGTTATAGCAACATTGTGGGAATGTTGAACATTAAAATATCCAGTTTTCTTGTGATTAGAACGTTATTTAAATGTTACAAAAATGTTTCGTACAACATTCTATTGACTTTATTTTTACCCAAAATATAAAACTATTTGAATTTGAATCTAGGAACATTAAAATGTCCAGTTTTCAGCATTGATAATAATCAGAAATGTTTCTGGAGCAGCAGATCAGCATATTATACTGATTTCTGAAGATCATGTGACACTGAAGACTGGAGGAATGATGCTGAAAATTCAACTTTGATCACAGGAATAAATTACATTTTAACATTTATTCACATAGAAAATAGTTATTTTAAATTGTAATAATATTTAAAATTTTTAACTGTATTTTTGATCAAATAAATGCAGCTTTGGTGAGCAGAAGAGACTTCTTTCAATTAATTATTATCACATTTTCTCAGATAGATATTTATAATAAATTGATAAAATGATCCCAATGGGCACTGGTTTCTGGGCCGGTCCAAAACCAGTTTTTTCTGGCCCAGAAATGACTGTTTTCGTGTGAAATTCTGGCAGATTGAGCTCAGGCATCCTGTCAGTGGATAAGAGGAATCTGTCTCTCTCTCTCTGTCTGTTATCAGATATCTCAGCTCTGTCGAGCTTCCAGAAAACATGCTGTCAGTTTCACCAGTCGAGAAACTCAATCACAGCTGATAACAGACTGAACTGAGTGTGTGTGTGTGTGTCTGTGTGTGTGTGTGTGTGTGTGTGGGGGGTGTGTGTGTGTGTGGGGG